GTTCCCGATGTCCATCAGGCGCTTGTGGGCGCCCTTCAGTATACCTCTTTGGTCCCGAAGACCGGACAGAATGGCCGAACCCGAGGCCATCATGTCGTCCAGATTGGTGTTGAATGACTTGAGCCGCGTATTCTCGTCCACGTAGTAGTTCTCCATCGCTATATTGGTCTCGGAGTTTGTGGTAAAGCGTCGCGTCAGCAGCTCTTCCCTCTCCCTGTCCTGCCTCTCCCTCTCGACTCTCTCTCTCTCTCTTATTAAATATTGAAATTTAATTATTTTATTTCAAAATTATTTATTAATCGTTAAACAATTAGGAACTCATTTAACAAACTTTTTAAACATATTTAGACAAAATGTAATTAACGTTATTCTAAACGAAGAGAAAAACAGTGGATATGAAGAGAACAATGAGAAGAGATCTAAGAAATTGGGTCTCAATTATGTTTATGGAGGGAAAGAAAAATGAGTGATTCTTTCGGTGGGCAATCATTTTGGATACAAATATATGCTTTCTTTGGGGAGAAATGAAAAGTATATTTCGCGGATCGCATGTTATAATAGCACACATTGAATGAAATGCAGTGAAAGTATTGTCATAGATGTGTGACTCAATTCATTTAGATGTTTCCTAACGGTAACAAAAAACCAGTTCTTCCTGAAGTGGCGAACAGCTAATGCTATTCGTATGGCTGGCGGCGGTCTGAGGTCTGGGCCAACGGTGCGAATATGGCGTCCGCTGTGAATGCTGTGCAAAACAAGATCTGTTTGAACGGATCCGTTGGGATTGGACGAGATGTAGGTCAGGGGCAACCCATACGCCGAGTGTCAGATGAGACGAAACTCACATCATATATAATTTCTCGCGATTTACTTCACAGTCACGCGAAGACATCGCAGCCTAACGTTGTGTTTCGCTGTTTCCTTCTGTCTCTCACTATCTCTTCGTGTATGCGATCATCGATTGTGTCCTTCCATCAGATTCTTCGTTTTGTTCCTACTATTAGTGTCAGGAAATGAAGTCAAATAAACTCACAATACGTTTAGTCTTCTCATCTGTTCTTGTACTGCAAGGTATGTCTGTTTCTATAATAAAGTTTATTAAAAATTTTAAACTTTTTGAAAAACTGTGTAAAAACTTATTTTCAAAACCAATTTTGCCAATGAATTGCAATGAATTTGATGCTTATCTAATTGAGGTAAAAATAAGACACGAGTTTCTTTATATACTGTATCTATAAATCTTGTTCTCTATTTTTAAAAACATTTTATATTTCATATCGTTTTATATAACATATGAAGTATTTATTCAAATAATTTTTTGGACCAATTTTTTCTCTCTGGTGTAAAACAGTTTGTATTCTGCGGTAATTTAGGGATAGGGCGATGACCTAATACTTGGGCCTGAAATGGGTCATCAAAAAACTGATTACCAAATTGGCTTGAATTCAGGCTCAAATTGTATGCATATTTTTTGTCACTTTAGCGCATCCCTGTCTTAAGCGCCATTCATTGTCTCCATTGATACCTATATTTGAATTTCCCAAACATTTAATGCACAGAATTTGCAGACAAAATAAGTCGGAAGTAATTCAGTATAAAAACTCGTTTTTATAACTTTTATTGTTATATTACATTTTGTGGACCAATAATAATTACATTAATTGTAAGTTAATGTAAAATTCCTGACTTTTTTATTTCCGAAATATAACAATAGATTTCCATAAGAAAGAGTTGAAGAAAATTACATAACATATGAGATAACTCTCACTAAAAAATGATTGCCATATATTTGTGTGAACTCTAATCCTAAATAACCATTTTATTTGCAATATTCGTGTCAAACGTTTAATGAAAGCACTGATTATTGTCAGTGAAATAAAAATCCGTTTAATGGATACGCTTTTAATGAAAAATAAATTAAAATAAAAAGTTTTTAAATGAAGTTTTGAAGAGAAAGAGAGATAAAAAACAGTTCATTTGATAACTGATATGATATGAAACGATTATTACTGACATTATTATGGAAATATATAGCTTTAAACGATGTTTTACTAATTGAGTCCTAATCTTACCATCAGTTTTGAGCACATCTATTGTCAAACGTCAGGCAAATGATGAAAACGACGCCGAATTATGCAAAGGAAGGCCTCCGAGTGAGTACTTCCGGCTGACGGCCGACGAAGACTGTCGGGATGTCGTCCGCTGTTCAGTGCAGGGATTGCTGGCACTCAGGTGTCCGTCGGGTCTGGCTTTCGATATCGACAAACAGACCTGCGATTGGAAGTCAAATGTCAAGAATTGCGCTCAACTCGAGAGTAAGATTTAAAATAGATTTGGGAATCAATACATAAATTAATGCTATGTTTGTCACGACATATAGAGCCCCGTTTGACGGCACCACTGCTGGCCACGGATGAGCCGATCTGCGAGACGGGTAAACTCGCGTGCGGTAATGGAGACTGTATTGACAAAGAGCTCTTCTGCAACGGATCGCCCGATTGTGTCGACGGTTCCGATGAAAACGCTTGCAGTAAGGCTTCGTTACTAATTGTGTAATCCTTTAATACGACAAAAAAAACACTTTCTGGTATTTGTCCTCAAATACAAGTGATTGCGTAAAACCACTCAGAGATTAGGATAATTGATAAGAAAAATATCCTCAAAACTTTTTTTTCTGCATTTTATCAAATATTTTAAATATTACAACAGATTTCTAACTTAATCTGTAAATAAAAACTCATTAAAAATGTTATGCAATTAATCGCTAGCCGTGGAGAAGGACCCGAACAGAGCTCCTCCTTGCGATCAAAGTCAATGCGTTCTTCCGGACTGTTTCTGTTCGCCCGACGGCACCCAAATCCCGGCCAAACTGGAGCCGGCGAATGTGCCCCAAATGATCATGATCTCTTTCGACGACGCCATTAACAATAACAATATCGATATCTACGAGAAGATCTTCAAAGACGGCCGAAACAATCCGAATGGATGTTCAATCAAATCCACTTTCTTTGTGTCCCATAAATACACCAATTATTCGGCCGTTCAGGAGATGCACCGAAAGGGCCACGAAATCGCCGCCCACTCTATCACGTGAGACATATTAACAAACATTTAATTAGAAACATAAAACTAAACCACAGGGTTATTAATAATTTGGTATATAAGTAAAGGATCTGCGTAAATGTAAAAGCTACAAAAAACTATTGGGCCGATTTAATGAAATTGAAAAGTGATTCGCATTTTACTTAATTTCAAACTGACCTAATTGTTGGAACTTTTGGCTTGTGGTTAATTCTATAACTCTATCTCTTTGAATGCACTTAATTTCATTAAAATCCATGCAGTAGTATCTTTTTGTAGTTAACGTTTTTACTTCGGTACCAAATTATTTATAATCCTTTATTTTGTATGTTTTTGACGACAACAGACATAACGCTAATGAGAAATACTGGAGCGAAGCGAGTCTCGAGACGTGGGCTAAAGAGATGGCCGGCGTTAGGCTTATCATTGAACGGTTCGCCAACATTACCGACAACTCGATAGTCGGCGTTCGGGCGCCGTATCTGCGGGTCGGCGGCAATAACCAGTTCTTTATGATGGAAGAGCAGGCCTTCCTATACGACTCAACCATTACGGCACCGCTCAGTAACCCTCCCCTCTGGCCCTACACTCTGTACTTCCGAATGCCGCACAAATGTCACGGCAACGGCCAGAACTGTCCGACCCGTTCGCACGCCGTCTGGGAAATGGTTATGAATGAGTTGGACAGACGAGACGACCCCAACTTCGACGAAGAGCTATCGGGGTGCTCAATGGTGGACAGTTGCGCTAGTTTGATTACCGGCGACCAGTTCTACAACTTTTTGAACCACAATCTCGACCGACACTACAAGACAAACAGAGCCCCATTGGGTATCTTCTTCCACGCGTCGTGGCTTAAACTCAATCCCGAATATTTGGACGCATTTATCCAATGGATCGATGAAGTGCTCGACCGAAACGACGTCTACTTCGTGACGATGACACAAGTGCTGCAATGGATGCAAACGCCCACTGAGTTGTCTCAGGTGCGAGACTTCGCCCCCTGGAAGGAGAAGTGCGATGTGAAGGGTCAGCCCCTCTGCAACCTTCCCAACCATTGCCCGCTCAGTACCCGAGAGCTGCCGGGAGAGACCGTGCGTTTGCACACGTGCTCGGAGTGCCCCCAGAACTACCCCTGGCTCGAGGACCCGACCGGCGATTATTTTGCTTATAAGAAATAGTTTAAGTCAAGAGTTGTTATGTATTGAAACTGATTTTTTGATTAGAATTTTTTTATTGACCAACAAATGAATCGATCAAATAGTTTCCATTAAAATTATTTAAATTATATTTCATTTTTTATATTATATATATTTTTTGACACGGATTAACACTCGCCGTGTGTTTTGCCACTTAATTTTCAAAAGCAATTTCATGACTAATTATGCTCTCAATTGTGTTGACACACAGTAAATAAATTGTTATTTTAAGTAAACGATAAAAAATAAATTTGTCACCAAATAATAAATTTTTGATTTATTAATTATTTATAACTATTTATTGAACAGAATATAATTTACAAAAAAAACTTTTACATTTAAGTATTCGGGGAAACGTCAACAGCTTTAGTGAAGACACCATTTTTGGGAGTCATTGATATAACTTTAAAGTCCCGCTGAATGTCACCCAACTCTGTATTGGGAGAGGGAATAAAAGTGTATTGATTGAGTAATTTGGCCATGGACAATTTTATCTCCAATAACGCAAATCTCATTCCAATGCAATTTCGAGGACCCGTTCCGAAGGGCTGCCAAACGACTGGATTTATTAAATGCTTGTTTTCGTCGGAAAATCTTTCCGGAATAAACTCTTCGGGTTCTGACCACAGCTCTGGATCTCTATGCAAGAAATATTGAGGAACTCGAAGATCAACACCTTTTGGAAGTGTTAATCCATTGTATGGATAATCAATTTTAGGCGATCTTGAGATAAATATAGTAACGGGTGTATACAACCTCAGTGTCTCATATATGACAGACTCCATGTACTTTAATTTGGTTACAGTATTGTAATCCAGTTTTCCCTCCGATTCTAACAATTCTTGTACTTCTTGTCTACATTTGTGTTGAATTTCTGGTTTATTGATTAAGATATGCATTAAATATCCCAAAGCACTGCTCGTCGTCTCATAACCGCCTTCCATGAAGAGAACACAATTGGCTGCGATCTCATCGTCGGTCATCTTTGTCTTCTTATTGATCCGCACATTAGAGTCGACGACAGTATCGTTATTCATGTCACTACTGACTGACAGCTTGTCATTGGACAGAATTTCAATTCCCTCGGAATCGATCATCATTTGCAACAAATCCTTTTGTTTGTCACCCTTTTGTTCCCGTCTTTGTCTTATCAATTGATCGCTAACTTTGAGCAAAAATCCTCGACTGGAATGACCCAAATAATCGCTAATCATTTCAGTTATTAATCGGAAAGGATTTATAGCCCATAAGAACTCGGGGAACAAGAATGAGATAAATAGGAAGAATTGTGAGACTTGTGTTTGAAACGACTTTTTTATGGCATTAATCACTTTGCGTTCGGTCTCTGTTTGTGCGCCCGAATCAAAACCAAATCCGGATTTGGCGATCGTATCCATCGTTAAATCCTGAGCCAAATCGTAAATATCCATCTCTTTGTCTAACATCTTATGTTCTTCGACTCGACTGACAAACTGATCGATAGACGACTCAATAATTGGTGTCATTTGCTTAAGTTTTGCGCCGCTAAATGTTGGCGACAAAATGCTTCTCATCTCTCGCCAGCGGCTGTCCTCACATGAGATCAAATCCTTTTTAAAACGAGGATTTATATCAATGCCTCCGTCAAGAAGTTGTTTCCTTTTGGAGAATTGATTAAATTCTTTGATTTGAATGATTTTCAAGAGCTCCGGGTCTGCGATCAACACAAATGGTTTTGCGCCCAAATAGTAGCCAACAATTCTGCCGTACTTTTGGATCCATTCCTCGTGACATTTGGCGTATCCTTTGGTTTGATATTCTTTAAAATTACCATAAATTAGATGAGGAGTCGGACCCGGAATACCATATCGTTTCAGTTTATTCATAAGTCTTTTGCGCCGATTATACCAAATGGCAGACAATGTTATAACACTTACGATCACTAAAAATATTAACGACATATTCTCTCCAATTCTTAATTAAAAATGAAATATTGAAAATAATTTTCACCAATAATTGTAAACTTTATTTATTTCAATATAGTTTGTGAATAAAAATGTAGGGAAGCTTAAGTTTATATAGTTTATTGTTTATGCTAAATTATGTCTGATTTATTTTGTAAAAAGAAGTTATCAAATTATTGATAAAATGTTATACAGTTTATTTGTGCACATTTGCAAACTTAAATAATCAATTCAAAATATTTAAGTTCGTTATGTATCAACAAATATATCATTTTAATAAGTAATATGGTTTTAATTAGGACTCAAGTCCTTAATAAGTGTGGAAATAAATGTCTATAAAGCTAAACACATGAATAAACAATTTGTTAAATAACTTATTTATGAAAATAATCTCATTATTAGATGCTATCAAAAACAGACCTCATATTAGATTACTTATAAAAAACCAATCAAAATGTAATAGTTACAGTTATTTTATTTGTATCGGTCTTTTAGTTTAAACTTAATGGCAATTCAAAGTTGTATTTTATTCTCGACACCAGTTGTGACAGAAATTTGCATAAAAATTATTAAAAACAACTGCAATATTACTGAATTGTTTCCATTAGCCTTAATCATTATTAAAACTTGGAATTAATAGTTTTGTTTTTTAACAACTAAATACAGAATATAATATTTAATTACAATTGTTCAGTATTTCTTGATGTTATTCATTGGGGTTAAATATTTATATTGACAAAAATATTGGTTTTGTTATGATTTATAACTTATGAAGTGAAGTAACTTTAAAATTATTATCAATTATTAAATCAAATTTAATTTTAAAAATATTTTCCTGTGAGAAGGGATTTCCTTTACGGAAGTTTCGCATGATTTTAATATTACGACAGTTTTGTGACTTTAGTTTACAACTTATTAAACAATACATTAAAACATAATTTTAACCAAAAATTTATACAATCACTTCATTTGATCCCAAGTAATAGCACAAGAATTATGAAGACATCCATTGATACCACAAATGAATTGAGTGAAGACAACAGAAAACATGTATTTAACAAACAATTGACTGTTTATTTAATTTTAATTGTTTTTGTCTCTTATTATAGTCACCACTCTATGCGAAGAACTCAATGGACAGATTTGGTGATGATTTGTGTGAAGTTCTATTGTCTTACTTTCCACTCAAAGATCAATTCCGTTACGAATGTGTGTCCAAACAGTTCCAGAGAACAGTCTTCAAGAGTGTTGTGGACATCATTATTGATGACAATCTAATGAGAGTTATAACAGCAAAATATATAAGTGAAAGATTGATCACAATTGCCATAAAGTGTCCAAATATTCAAACCATTTATTGTCGAGGAATGCTATCATACAGTCATTGCATTCCCGAAGTGTTGAAAACATTTCGTGACAATTGCCGGCATTTGCGGGAAATATACTGCGATTTGTGGTCAAACTGTGAGCAATGGATCCATACTTTTGGACCTCTGGTCACACGAATTAAACTTTATTCAATAAACTCGAGGAATTCACTCAATCATTGTCACCGATTCTCTCGGCTAAGAGTCGAACAACTTTTCGACAGCACTTCCGGACAACTATTGGTGAAGAATTTAAGGGAATTTTCATTTCATATTCCGTATAATTGTGTCGATAATCACCAATTGTTGTCTGAATTTGTGGCACAGAATCAGTCTATCAAAAGTATTGTCGTAATTAACATAAGTTTTAATAAAACTCTGAACGAAATGTCGGCACAATTGTCACGATTAACACAATTACGCGAATTAACATTCATTTCAGTTGAATTCAACGATAAGTCATTTAATATGTTTTTGCGTACAATCGGCCAAAACTGCCTACAATTGCAACGATTGTCACTTGAATTGCTGTCATATAATCCACAACTCAATAATCAGACATTGGATTCGTTGCGATATTACTCCCGATTAAAACGTTTACGTCTTTTGTTCCACGAGTCCATCGGTCAGGAAGTGTTGGAACCGTTGAAACTTTGCCACCGATTAACACATTTAACATTATATTCAGACCGAATGGACACCAAATGGCTCTTTAATTGTAACAAACATTGGCCACGACTTCAATACCTAAATATCACTATCAATACAATGATTGACGAGTGTTTGGATCACATCTCAAGATTATCAGCGCTGCAGACACTTGTCATGCAATGCCATAAAGACATTGATATCAATAATTATGATTTCTCTGATATGTTGTTGAAAACTCCTAAACTAAAGATTAAATTGAATGTAAAATAAACCTAAAATTAACAGAAATATAATTACGTTTGCAATAAAATTCGGTTAAGTGTTTGATATTGTTTTGAAAATTTATTGATTTAATGATACAAAAATTTTCATTTAGTGTATAGAATATATGAATTTTATTCTGGTTGTTGTAATAATGTATGTATAATAATATTACATGAAATTTATTACTAAATACAAAAAATGACATTTAAATTGATTGAAACATTTATGAAGAAATGTCAACGGCTTTAGTGAAGACACCATTCTTGGGAGTCATTGATATAACTTTAAAGTCCCGCTGAATGTCACCCAACTCTGTATTGGGAGAGGGAATGAAAGCGTATTGATTGAGTAATTTGGCCATGGACAATTTCATCTCCAATAATGCGAATCTCATTCCAATGCAATTTCGAGGACCCGTTCCGAAGGGCTGCCAAACGACTGGATTTATTAAATGCTTGTTTTCGTCGGAAAATCTTTCCGGAATAAACTCTTCGGGTTCTGACCACAGCTCTGGATCTTTTTGTAGGAAATACAGGGGAACTCGAAGATCAACACCTTTTGGAAGTGTTAATCCATTGTATGGATAATCAGTTTTGGGCATTCTTGAGATGAATGTAGTGATGGGCGGGTATATGCGTAACGTCTCATATATGACAGACTCCATGTACTTTAACTTCGTTACGGTATTGTAATCCAGTCTTCCCTCCGATTCCAGTAATTGTTTCACTTCTTGTCTACACTTTTCCTGAATTTCTGGTTTATTAATTAAGATATGCATTAAATATCCCAAAGCAGTGCTCGTCGTCTCATATCCGGCTTCAAAGAAAAGCACAGAATTGGCTGCGATCTCATCGTCGGTCATCTTTGTCTTCTTATTGATCCTCACATTAGAGTCGACGACAGTATCGTTATTCATATCACTACTGACTGACAGCTTGTCATTGGATAAGATATCAGTTCCTTCCGATTCAATCATCATTTGCAACAAATCCTTTTGTTTGTCACCCTTTTGTTCCCGTCTTTGTTTAATCAATTGATCGCTAACTTTTAGCAAAAATCCTCGACTGGATTGACCCAAATAATCGCTAATCATTTCAGCCACTAATCGGAAGGGATTTATAACCCATAAGAACTCGGGGAACAGGAATGAGATAAATAGGAAGAATTGTGACACTTGTACTTGAAATGACTTTTTTGCCGCATTAATCACTTGGCGTTCGGTCTCTGTTTGTGCGCCCGAATCAAAACCAAAGCCCGATTTGGCGATCGTATCCATCGTTAAATCCTGAGCCAAATCGTAAATATCTATCTCTTTGTCTAACTTCTTATGCTCTTCAACACGATTAACAAACTGATCGATCGCTGACTCTATAATTGGTGTCATTTGCTTAAGTTTAGCGCCACTAAAAGTGGGCGATAAAGTGCTTCTCATCTCTCGCCAGCGGCTGTCCTCACATGCGATGAGACTATTATAACAAACTGATCGATCGCTGACTCTATAATTGGTGTCATTTGCTTAAGTTTAGCGCCACTAAAAGTGGGCGATAAAGTGCTTCTCATCTCTCGCCAGCGGCTGTCCTCACATGCGATGAGACTATTCTTAAGGCGAGGATTTATATTCAAACCTCCGTCAAGAAGTAGTTTCCTTTTAGAGAATTGATTAAATTCTTTGATTTGAATGATTTTCAAGAGCTCCGGGTCTGCGATCAACACAAATGGTTTTGCGCCCAAATAGTAGCCAACAATTCTGCCGTACTTTTGGATCCATTCCTCGTGACATTTGGCGNCTTTGATTTGAATGATTTTCAAGAGCTCCGGGTCTGCGATCAACACAAATGGTTTTGCGCCCAAATAGTAGCCAACAATTCTGCCGTACTTTTGGATCCATTCCTCGTGACATTTGGCGTATCCTTTAGTTTGATATTCTTTAAAATTACCGTAAATTAGATGAGGAGTCGGACCCGGAATACCATATCGTTTGAGTTTATTCATAAGTTTTTTGCGCCGATTATACCAAATGGCAGACAATGTTATAACACTTACGATCACTAAAAATATTAACGACATATTCTCTACAATTCTTAATTAATAACAAAATATTGAAAATAATTTACACTAACAATAACTTTGTTAGTAAACTTGTTTAAACATCCAAAGTAGTTGAAGAATATATAAATCTGCAAAGAAACTAAAGTTTATATACTTTTAATATTTACATTAGATTACGTTAGACTCGTCTAAAATGACCACAAGTGAGATAAACATTTACACGAATGCATCACAAATATAATTATCGCAGAATAGAGTGTATTTGAGTGCAAAACAATTTATCAGAAACTAATTACAGATTTATTTATATAAAAATAATGAAATCTTAAGAACAGATAAATATTGCTATTTATTAAAATGAACTTAATTTCTAAATAATATTGGTGGATTTGTCTAAACAATATATAAATTATCATTAAATTTATAGTTATAAAAATAATTACACAATTAGTGCTATAAATGGACTTAAATGCACTCAAATCTGGACCCATGAAGGGCATACCAGTGATTTTAATCATTTACTTATCAAAATAATCGATTTATCACATGCTATCAAAACATTAATTTACGGCATTTTTAAATACTGTTAAA